TTGTTGTCTTTCATATATGAATGTTTGTAGGGTTTGAGCACTGTCTAGAACTTCGAATTTTGCTAAATCTTTTGATTGTGTTCTATTAAATTTCCTACTATGATGCCTCTCACTAAAGAACACTATTAATGTTTACCATTGCAAGCTATTTGTCATACTCCTTGTCAACATCATTGTAATTTCCAAATATTTGTTGATTTTGAGTTCCATTAGTTTGGAGAAGAAACCTCTAGAATTTGTAGTTCGTTTCTTCATGGAAATGCCTTGTTTAGATTTATCTAAATAGTGAGACATTGCTTGCATTTGGCCAAGCCTCCTCTTGAAATGTAAGTCATTAGTATTATTTCTTTGAAATTTAAAAAAAAAAAAAAAAATCCTTCTATACAATTATTATTAGCTTTCTAGAACAATGCTTTAATGGAACTAACATGAGATGCGTACGTGTTAGCACCTTTCTATGGCAAGTATGTATGTGTATTTTTATTTTTTTACAAGTAAGAAACAATTTTAAAAGAACCATATGTACTTATTAATTAGTCTTTATTGCAGACACTTTTGAGAATGAAGAATCCAAACACACATTTATGGAGGAAAAAAATTGATAATATGCAAACCTGATGGCTGGTGTGACCGCATTCTTAGAAGGTTTTATCTGGGGAAGTCCATTACAATCAGAAAAAATCAAATTTCATAACCCCCTTCAAGTTTTGCAAAATATGCACCATGGATTTTTATTTTATTTTTGCTTATATACTTTCATTCTATTTGTTTTGTAGGGACCCTACAGTTCCCGTAGTGAGCTGGTCCAATATTTGCAAATATGATATGTTTCCATTTATAGCGCTCACAACTGTAGCTGAACGTTGGAAGCAGCAAGTTACAAGTAGCATGCAACGGGGTAACATCAGTAATTAGTTATCAAAGCTTAAGGATCTTTTTGGATGGATGTAAATTTCAAATCAAGTAATTTGAGATTGCTTGAACCATGGGCATGATCTATCGTGCGAAGCACCGCGCCTCACAACTAATATGTATATAAGCGGTGGTTTGCTGCTTGTGGCTTGTTCTTTTTTTTTTTTTTTCTTCCTATTTTGCTCTTAACTTTTAAAATACAATGTATAAAATTGATTGTATTATTGATTCATATATATTGTTGTATATTACAAATGGTGAGTGGCTCATTATATAGGAGAGGGTGAGTGTAGTAGGTGAGGAGTAGGTGAGGAGTAGGTGGTGGTAGGTGATGGTAAATTCTAACAGCCCCCCGCAAACTCAAGGAGGATAGAAACTAACCAACTTGAGTTTGAAGAGAGGAACAAAACAAGAAAATACATAAAAAAAAAAGATTTCTCAATTCTCAACAATATTACAATTCAATATTCATCAACCTAACCAAACGCTACCTTAA